CATTATGAGAATAAAACCCAGGTTGAAAATACCAGAACTTTTCTTTGCAGGGTTTGCTGAATCTGACTTGAAACACTCATGAGAGTAAAGCTGACAGTAAAGTAAGAGAGGTTTAGGAAAACAATACAGAAATGGTCTTGCATGTGCCACCTTGTACTTAATGCTTCACTAGCTTTTTCTTGACCTATAATTGAAAAATCCCCCTCCTTTGGTCATTTACAAGCTGACTAAGAGAGCTGGCTCTGTGCTGGGGACTGCCCCGGTGTAGGTTGTGGAAAGAAGGATGTTGCACAAACTGCTCAAAATTATGGACAACACCTCCCTACATCTGCATGAACTGCTGGTCTGACGACAAAGTCTCTTCAGTCGGAGACTCCTTCAGCTCAGCTATAGGAAGTCTTTCCTGCCTACTGCAGTAAAAATTTACAATGACTCTGCTCTGGGCAGAAAGAGGAGACCCATTTCTTCTGAATGACAATACACATCTTTCTACTTGCACAGATATAGTCAGAGAGACATACAGTATATTAATGTATTTTTTACTTATATTTATGTATAGTAGCATATTAGTTTAAATGAGTATATATTGTAAATGTGTTAATTGCATTTTTTGTTATTTTTTAAACTTACCTCATGTGTCTTTTGTGTAAGTCTTTTTTTATATATTTATTAATTGTTTCTGTGGTGTATTTTAAGCTGTGGACTTTGCATGTAATTTCATACTACACTGTGGAATGACAATACAGAAATCCTGAATCTTGTACCTTTTTATTTTATGTAAACTGCTGCTATTGCAAAACTGCAATTTCCCTTTGAGGATGAATTAAAATACCTATCTATCCAGCCATCCACCCATCCGTCTGTTGTCATTGCTCTTATTTCCTTGTGTCTGTAGTACTACATTGCTGCACTGGTTTGTATTGGGATCACAGTGTTACCTGTGCCTGGGCCTGGACCAGCTTGGCCTGCAGCTGGTCAATGCAGTGCTGCATTCGCTCTCTGTCTTTCTCTCCCTCATCCCTCTCCTTCTCCAGCTCTTCGTTCTTTCTCCTCAGCTCTCTCATCCCTTCCTCCAGTTTTTCTTTGTGGCTCTTCAGCAACTGGAGGAACTCGTTTGCCCCTTCCACAGGCTGCAGAGAGACATGAAAGTGAAAGAACCTGGGATGAGCGGATGCAGGGAGATGTGATGACAGAGACAGACCACGTTCATTGGAGGCCCGACACCAAGCAAAAAGTGGAAATACACCAAGATGTGAGAGAACACAAGCTGAGGTTTACAAAAGGAGACAGAAGGAATAACTTTATGGATAAGAGCTGTGTTAAATCCAGTAAAGGTAAGATGACCTCTAGATTTATAGTGCCTAATGTAAAACACAGTCCCCCATAACATAGCTGGTGCCAAGTTTATTATTAAAACATTTAATGCTGCATGGTGATTAGCGCCAGGTTTTGTGCTGAGAGTTCACAGGCCAGCCCATACTATTTATCCAAGCAGAAGGTCAGGATTTCAAACCTCTGCCTGAACAAAAGATAAGGTGGGGTGAAGCAAGACACTAGAGGCGTGACGGCCACAGAGGAGGGGTCAGGGATCTGAAAGTGGGATGGAGTGAGCAGGCTCACCTGGCTATTTTCCCTTCCCATTATCTCCCCCCATACCTCCGAGAATGAGGTGGGGGGAGAGGGGAAGGTGCTACCCAAGGAGCTAAGCACACTTGCATCAGCCTGGACACACGGACATACCAGTTAGGTGAAAAACAATCAAATCCATCAAAAGTGAAATCAGAAAGCGCCCAGGATCAACAGCGACTGACCAGGCTGCGAGGTGGCAAGGTCTGTGTGTGTTGATCCGTCTCTTCAACTCTCTTCCTCTCCCGCTGATCAAGAGTCTGAAAGATGCAACAGAAGTAATTGTTTCCAAAGTCCAGTGGAAACAATTCAGAAGCAGAGCATCTATTCTTCAGAAGACAGTATTCTAATGTAGTTTCAGTTTGTTTTTCCAGCACGCTGAACGTTTGCTCGTTTAGATGTAGTAACAGATGCTTTGTGGCTGAAACTTTGTGATAACTAATTTTAAAATCAGTCAGTACAGGCGACAGGCGCTGCTCCTCTGCTGTCACTAATATGATCACAAAATAATGATTTGATCAGCAGTGCAGTGGCTTGAGAATGATTGATGGCATGCAGTACGTATGATTCTTGATCAAATCCCTATATTGTACCTGTTCTGAAGAAACAGAAACATGTGTAAATGAGAACAACTAAACTGTGAGTTTGGCTGTGTTGAGACATAGTATAAGTGATCACAGAGAGCACAAACATTTACCGGGCTGAGACTCAGCCGTGTCTGTTCTAACAGATGTTGGCAGTGATGCATAGTCTTGTGAGAGGACGACAAAGAAGAGATTAGAGAGTAGTAGCGGTCTTCCTTACTCTTTTTTTCCTTCTCTTCCCCTTCATTCTGTCCCTCTCTCTCTTTTTATATTCTACATCAATATGTAGCTCATTAATTACAAATAAAAAGCGAAACACATGAAATCATTAAATTTGACAATAAATATAGTCAATGACATCCATTCACAAGTGTGAATCAAGTCAGGAGGAAAGAGCCTGTGAGAGAGACATCCTGCTGATTGGCCTTTACACTCATTTCATTCCATTGGTAATCTCATAATCTACATTTGCCTGTCACCGCACATTACATGTTTCCAAATATGGTGAAATTACAGAAACTATTACTGTAGCAACAGGACAACTAACCAGTGAAAAATAGGTGAACTAATGTCTGCATACATGTACCAACACAGGGTTACAGAATATAACAGTGGGCAGCTGACCTGTGGTCCGTCCAGCGGTCCGTTCTTTGCCGGGCGCCCCTGCAGGTCTTCAGTCTGGCTGGAGCTGCAGCAGTGGGAGGCTGGTCCGTTCACCATGCCTTGCAAGGAGTGGTTCTCCTGGGCCAGCCTCTCCACCAGGGCCCTGGCCTCCTGGAAACGACAGCTGAGAAATTCTCGTTCCTCTCTTGTCCTCCGCTGCCATCCCTCCATCTCCTCACAGCGTTGACGCAAGGCCAGGTTGCTCCGCCGCAAGGCCTCTGGGAGACAGAAGGATAAAGGTAAAAGGACAGGGGGGAGATCAATAATGTCATACAGAGCGTCACACAGGAATTATTTCCTGGATATTCTATAGATTAAACCACTATTGTGATAAGAAACTAGAAGTTTCTCGTGATTGTGATAAGAACTGTAGAAGGTTATTCTGATTTTGTTGTGCAGCTTTTATGTGGTGATTTCTGGGGCTTATAGAGGGACTAGGTAACTTTTGAAAGATTAAATAACACATTGTTCGCACTCTTGCTCTGTTGATGTAAATAAACACTGCGTTTTGTTGCTACAGATATGCTGACTCTTCTTTACGGTTACTCTCTGTGTAAGATGTATTTACCACTATAGTCAAATTTAACACATTCATTATCAGTCATACACATTTCTCAGTTTAATATACTCCAGGGTTTTACAGACTACAGTCTTACATGGTCTTGTTATGACCAGCAGCTTATGGTCGTAGCTTACGTTAGCTAACTTTATATAGACTTATGTAACTGACATTACTGATTGAGTTTGTTGACTTTATGATTATCCTGTGCATGACACTGGACCCCAGCGGCTGCCGAAGGTCAGCCTCTGATAAAAGCGCTTTACAAATGCAGTCTATTTATTTAAAGGCTGCTTTACTGTAACAGAATACAGTTTCCTGAACTTACCTGACAGTTGTACATCAATGAGTGTCATTGTAGACACAGTTTTGTTGTATCCTTCCAACATGTCTACCATTTTATTCCCTCAGTAATGCCCAGCTCCAGCATCAAGTACAGAGATAAACATACTTTGAGTTGAGTATATATTGTTTTATTTCTTTAGCTTATGGGAACACATCATACCTCTGAGCTGCTGGTTGTCACCCAGCAACCTGGTCACCACTTCATTGGCAGCCAGCTCTGGTGGGACCCTCAGGGCCCCTCCACTCTCTTCTCCTGACATGTCCCACTGCATTGGGCCATCAGGCTGGGGCTGCACCATCCCTACAGAAAATCATGCATTATTACTCACTTCACAAATAAAAATACCCATGTTGTGTTGAAGCCTGTGTCCTCGTAGATATGAGTTTCCCTTCAGCTAAACCCAACCAGCTATGTTACCTGCTGCGGGAATCACCATGTTAATGGGGGGACAGACCCGCACCCATCATCACGTACTGACACATGGCATACCGCGCCTCGTTCCCGTTAGCCGACCTGAGGTAGCTACTTTCACTTTCAATTCAATCTCTCGTTCAAATCCCGGTCCATCTCATGTGCGAGGAGGCCGTCTGGCCTGCTGATAAGCTTTAGCAGTGACTCACTCGTGCAGTGTCTCCTCTTTGCGCCGTGTCACCTGCATACAGGTACCGGTGGACGCGAGGAAAACATTACGTCATCCCCAGCACCATCAGGCAAACACCCGAGACACACAGCTTCTTGCATGTATTTGTTTACAGCACAAACAGAAGTAAAACCATTAAAAAAGTCAATTTCAGCTGATGATATGACCACGTGATTTAATTAACGTTAAACGAAGTTGTTTTCTCCTCCGCACCCAGAACAAAACAACACACTGCTAATGTAGGTGCACTAACTCTACGAGATACCAAACTCCTCTTACCCTTTCTTCTTTTTCAGTTATGTTGTCCGGAATAACAGCCAGCTGTCACTCACATACAACTTGTTAGTAACCGTTGCAATTTAGCCAAAGTAAAAGCTACCTGGCTAATGCTATGTAGCTAGCGAATTAGCTTGTGAGCTAGCTATGAGCATTTAGCAAACCAGTAGCTGGGTAACTCTGTTGACTGACATAAACAACGACCCACATCAACGGCCTATGTATCTCCCGAAAGGCATTTTGCCCAGTTTGTAACGTTATCCTAACACACTGTACGTGTTTTACGGCGAGTTGACGTTATCTGTCAAAGCCGAGGCGCCTGTTATTAGCTCAGGAAATATAGATTAACACTGTTCCCCGAGTAAAGCCTGTCAGGCAGCACTTCCTCTCAGGCTGCAAATACTACCTCCGGAATTGTCTACTTTATGTTTCTTATAAATCTGTAACATATTGGGTCACGAGTCATTGCTAAGCGAGGTTTAGAAGTGTTAATTTATACAAGATTCCTTTAGGTGTGTTGATTTTGATCTATAATCCCATATATCATTCGATTCTAAATCTTCATGAGATATATACTATAAAATTTAAATTAATAGCCCGGGCTTTCACTTGTTTCAAATCACTGAACTCACCCTGCCTATATTTGGGACAGGCGTCTATAAGGGACAAGCCTTTAATTCCTTCACCATGCTGGTAAATCTGAATGAATAATCCTTTGGTGCTCAAAGTTTCTGTAAATTGAACAACATAATTGAACTGTGGAGAATCTAACCGATCTAACAATGTGTAGCATGTCCATTTTGACAACAGTTTATACATTTGTATTGGTATGCGCGATCTAAGCAGCTTAGAAGTAGTTCAAGCAGGTGACCCACTGGGTTTTAAGAGGTTTTATACATCCAAAGAACTTCTATAAAAACCAGATCAGATTTCTAATTGAGATCTGCATAAACGTGTAGCCACACCAGGCCTGTAAATGGGACTTGGCTTTTAGGAGCATCTATTGACAGAAATGCAATATCATATCCATAAAAATGTTTTCAGTGGTGTCCAAAGACCTTACACGATGAACCGTTATGTTTTTATTACCTAACAATGACCCAATTCTATCTACATAAAATGCGGGTCCTCATATATGTCCTCTTAATGTTTCTATAGTAGCCCAAACAGACAGACGGCTCTAGAGCGCGTTTCGTCACTATGTTGAATACTTATGAAGAAGAAGTAGTAGTAGTCTGGTTAATTAGAGGTAAGAAGAGAAGTGAAATTTGGACAAATGGAGGACCACACGTATTATTTAGCACAAGAGCTAGCTAGCTGTAGCTTCTCCTACACCCGTGCAAAGGGAGGGATGAGTGGTGAGTGAGCCAATGATTGCAATTTACAACCCTCAAAACTAGATGCCACTAAAACTTTAAAGGAGACCTATTATACTACATTTCCAGGCCTGTATTGTAATTCTATGACTCCTCTATGGTATCTTTGCATGATTCAAAGTTAAAAGAATAAATTTCCTTCTTAAACAGGCCCTTCATGCAGGCCCTTATATCAGCCTCTGTCTAAAACAAGCTGTAGCTTAAAGAGACAGGAGCGTCTCTTGAAGCCCCCCCCCCCCCCCAAAAAAAGTCCCTGTCTTCTGATTGGCAAAGACATTTGGTGTTCGTGTCACAGGTGTTGCCCAATCAGTTGTGACAAGTTTGTAAACACAACCATGTTCAAAAGGCAGTAAAATGCATTGCCCTTTTTTACACAACAGGATGTCCAAGGCACCATTGTTTCCTCTGAACAAAACATTTTTCTACATTTTGTCAGCGCTGGACTCGCGCCAGGCTGTTGTTGTCGCTGGGGTACAGACAGATAGATGTTAGGGGTTGCCAGGCCGCAGGCAAATTACCATATATGTAGTAGAAAAAACTGTTTAAACGGAGAGTTAAGAATGTTTGGCTCAGAAGGAATTTCTTTTAAATGTTTACCTCATTAATTGGAGCTTTGGCCATGTTTAACATTAACATCCAACACTGAAACACTAGGTAAAGATAAGACAGAAAATACATAAAAGAAAAGCATAATAAGTCCTTTAATTTAAGTTTTATGGAGACTCTTCTCTCTGTTTCATTGGCTCTCCTTACATTTTTATTTGCAGTCATAGACGTTTTCTAGCCAAAAACATTGTGTTAAAACTATGAATGCTGTCATTCACTGTCACTTGTTTGTTTATCAAAATAATCTGTACTGTAAAAAAAAAAAGTAGTGAAATGGTATCCGATGTGGACGCTACCTGAGACTCTGAACTCGGGGCACAGCAGCGCACCTCCCTCAGGAAATCCCCTTCCTTCTTCCGCAGTGTGAAATGACGTCAGCGGGCTGCGGCACACAGCGCCTTTGCTGATGTGCGCAAAGTGAAATAAGCTACATGATGCTCTCTGTCCCTGCTGCTGGAGTTATTTTACTATTAGCTTGGATTTATCCAAGTTACGCACTCTATTTCCACATAGGAGAGACGGAGAAAAAATGCTTCATTGAAGAAATTCCAGACGAGACCATGGTTATTGGTGAGTATTTCGTGGGGTCGTTAGCTTGATGTAGCTAACTAGCAGTGCAGGCGAACAGCTGGCTCCGCCAAAAGACGCTGCAGTGAAAACAAAAATGACAAAAAGACTCGACACCTTGAAGAAACGTGTAGTTCATAGTTAAAGCCTGGTTACAAGCCTTATAATCACAAACACTGAGGTTTTCTGGAGGATCTAGTAGCTGCTCGTTAGCCTATAAATTTCGCATTCATTCTTACACCTGAGTTTATGTTTGACATTCAGAATAATAACGTTAACTGAAATATTGTCAGCCTGAAACCAAAAGTGACAATTACACAACCTGCAGAATACAGTTAAATAAAATTGTGTGCTTATATATTTACATTTTTATGTTTACGCTGTACTATCTTTGTATTACATGTAAATATGGGGGATAAACACAAAATATCAAGAGGTCGCCCAGAATTCCTGGTATGATATTTCAAAAATTGAGACAGCGAGATTTGTGTGTCCTATGGAAACACTGGATGAGATTATGTAGCTAAGTTAAGTGGAAAACTACGTAGAATTATGTTTCTGCACTTAGTGTATGCTGGTGTATCACAAACTGCCACTGTAGGCTACATTATGTTGAACGCCTCAATTCGCTATATTAACATTTCTACTAATTATATTCTCATAAATTTTATTCTATAGCTATTTTACTCCTTTGAATGATTGCTGCATGATGTGTGTCTTTGCCGGTCTGACAGGAAAGTACAGGACCCAGCTGTGGGACAAACAGACCAGTTCCTTCCTCCCAGCCACCCCCGGCCTTGGGATGCATGTCGAGATCAAAGACCCAGACACAAAGGTAAGGACAGAGGAGGTGGTATTATAAAACGCACCCACATACGTATAAATTGAATCTAAAGATTTTTCTCTTACAACTCTCCCAGATTATCCTGTCTCGTCAGTATGGGTCAGACGGACGGTTCACCTTCACCTCCCACACTCCCGGGGAACATCAGATCTGTCTGCACTCCAACTCCACCAAGATGGCTCTGTTTGCAGGAGGAAAACTGGTACGAACATAGTTTCTGCTTTGACTCTTATCTGACCAGCACGCTATTTTCCTTCAAAATGTGTCACACAAATGTTTATTACTAACAATGTTACTTTTATTGTTCAGTGTATTCACATTGGGACCTTGACAAATATGTCCTTCATGTTTATGTTTAAACTTAGGGATGTTTTAATAAAGCAAGATTACCCCTTAAACCAGAAAGTTAAGAGACTGTGGAGACTTAACTTTTATCACATTTTGCTTAGGGTTGAAGACTGAAAAAGAAATGAGATAAGATTTGAATGATCTGCACAGGATTCCAGTGAACAAATGTGCTGTTAAATGCACTGCAAATAAAACAAAGCCCATAAACACATTTGATCCAGAGCTGTAGTAAGTTATAGTAGGCAGAGCTATTCTGGGAATCATAGGAGGGCATCTAACGTAATGTCACTCTAGAGTGACTGTTGTTACAATTCTGCAGGAACACGGTGAACGCAAAAATGCTCCACAAAAAAACAAAACGTGGCATTTAAAAAAGAATGAGAATGGCCAATCAAAAAGATAGGACAATAAATCAGAATTAAGGATTAAAGCCTGCAGTGAGAACGCAGCTTAAGTGAAAACTCCTGGTTGACCATGGATATGCAGGACTTATAAATGTTATTTAAATCACAGACACGGAAATCCATCTTAATAAAAAGTGTACCAGATGCACAGGTACAGTCAGGTAATGTTTACCTGCAGCCATAAGGGGGTAAATCTCATCTTTACACAAACCTTCAGGCATATCTTTAGAATAGAGAAAGTGAAAGCTGAAAAATATCAGTACTGACACTCAGTATGGTGTCAATGGGTGTCCTTGACTAAAAAGTCACATCAGAAGTTTCAACATTTATGATACAAAAATTATTATGACATTATTGCAAACAAACAGAATAGTTCACCGCACATCGGCAGCTCTTTGTTAATGGCACCAGCTTCATTCATTTTTGCTTCAATGCTTTTTCCTTATGACATGTTTATTATATGTTGCTCTGTGGCAGTGAACATCATGCCTTTAAATGTCTGTTAATTAATAAATCGCTGTGATCTGATCTATAACCAGACTTGACTTAGTCTGATCATGTAAACTTCGAGTTGGCTTTATGAAACTGCTTAATCCTGGTTAAGCTTTTAGGCTAATTGAAGCTTTTCCACATTTCGTTTATGGAATACTATCAGTCAATAATAAATTGTTTTAATGCCCACAGAATGTAGATTTCAAACATTCTGTTTTCCAATGTTGCAGAGGGTGCATCTGGATATTCAGGTCGGAGAACATACCAACAACTACCCTGAAATTGCAGCAAAGGACAAACTCACCGAGCTGCAGCTGCGAGTCCGACAGCTACTCGACCAAGTTGAACAGATCCAGAAGGAGCAAAACTACCAGAGGGTCAGTGACGTCATGTCTGAGATTGTTCACTACATTTAAGTACACTTGTTATCTATGCCATTAAACCTCTCTAGTGACTTCATTGTGTGTCGTGTCTTCTACAGTATCGTGAGGAGCGGTTTCGCATGACGAGCGAGAGCACCAACCAGCGTGTTCTCTGGTGGTCCATCGCTCAGACACTCATCCTCATCGTCACCGGCATCTGGCAGATGAAGCATCTGAAAAGCTTCTTCGAGGCGAAGAAACTGGTGTAAAGTCTTGTCTGAGCATCGGCAACAACAAACACGAGTATACAGACTTGGAGAGACGCCTGTCAACAGCGCAGAGACATCCAGGAGAAGAAACGTGGTCTTAATATCAGCCAGAAGTGGTACGAGCAAATTCACAGAGGCGGCTGTTTTACAATGTGTTTTACCTTGTAAATGTTTTAGGAAATTGTTATTTTCCATTAGCAAGAACACAGTAGCACATTTCTGTTTCTAGCTTTTGTAGTTGTGTTTTCTTGACAACACTGGACACGTTACTTTTTTTAATCTTCCTGTGCAAGAAGCAGCAGAGACAACAGTAGGGATAGAGATTGTAGGAGTCAATGCCTGAATGTTAAAGCTGTTACAAGTAATAACCGAGTAGTTTATTGATACATGATTTTATGAAGGCCTTTTTTTCTCATTGTTAGTGTTGCACATATTTTTTTCCCAGGTTTTGTAACTCGTAACTAACCACAGGCTTTTAGCCGTATTCATCACTTATGCAGGTACTACACTGGTTCCTCACGTGTCCATTTGATACTGCTTTACTTTATTTAGCATTTATAAGCAGTATATAAAGAGTTAATAGTTGTAAGCAGCTTTGAGGACATCTGTGTTTATTAAAATATTTGTGAAGCATTATAACCTCCCATGAAGCATTCATAACTTGTGAATGAACAGGTAATCACTACTTAACCACATTTTAAGTGTTTATATATTGCTTATAAATGGGAAATGGAGGGTCAAAATAAAGTGATACCATCCATCCTTCGACTAACTGTATATAGTTTCTACCTAGAGTACAGTTTCTTGTACATTTTACCACAGCTAGGTCTGTAGATACAGTTTGTGATACTCGTCTATTAACAGGATTCCTCTGTATGTTGTAAATAACAGGTTATTGACTGTCTTGTTCATTTTCTAATGCCTTTTACACTGATTGAACTGAAGGTCTTTAATTGTGTTTCTTCAGTGTCATAGAACTTATTTATTGAGCAGTCGATGCCTGTGTTTAAATGCTGAGCTTAACCCAACTGTACTCAAATTGTTATTTATCAGCGCTGGACATTTTTATACATTTGGAAGTTCAGTTAATTCAAATTCATAGTGAGGAAGAACTTGTTAGAATTAAAAGGGGATATAGTGAGTCAGTGGTTTCCTATTTTAACTGGGTTGTATTTTTTTTTTTTTTCACAGTCAAAATTTGGATTTGAGTCTTTATTTCCATTTTTTGAAATGATCACTTTGAACATTGCTACGGATTCCAAATGTCACCTCCATGTGCTTAATAAATAAACTTTGGCCAAACGACGGTCTGTCTCTGATGTTATTTGTGCCACTTTGCCCTAACTAGAAGAAATACACAGCAAATGGCAGATGTTTTCAACAGTAAAATTTATTGCTTGGCTTTGGCTTCCCTCATAGCCAGATTCCAAACCAAACAATGCTGCAACCACATGTCTAACCACAAGCTGATCATCCTTTTGTTAATTTTTTTTTTAAAATCATACAATGAAAGCACTCTTCACGGAGACAGAAAAATACACTGACCTTGTGACCTGTTTGAAGAAACCCCTGCACCACCATGATGGCTGCAGTGTAAAACTGCTCAAACAAAATCATCTCTTTGCATAGATTCACTCCCTTCCTTCTCCAACAAAGCGCCCCACCGTACCCATGGACACAAGACTGTTACACAGAAACAAAACACTACTTGGATTTGTTAATATCAAGAATAGAGATTTGACACATTTGGCACACCATACGAAACAATATCAAACGCACAATACTATGTGTCATTATAAAGGGATAAATGATTTATTAAATCAAGTCTTTGTTTCATCTGTCCAACAAAAACGGTACACTGTACTGTGTGGAATTCCTGATCTGTGTGGGACACTGTACACCGTTAAGGAAAGGTAGAAAAGATCACATCAGCACAACAAATCCTCTCTATCGCGTAACTCAAGTGAAATCATTTTCCATATGTCACCATGTTTTCAGTAGTTGTACATTTGTCCAGTAACCTTGTAGGAGAGGTTTCCATGAGAAGGAAGTCAGAGCACTATAGGTTAGTAACACGCTACTTTTAAAAAAGGTAGAACTAGTTCTGTATACTGAATGCCACTTTTTAATGCTTAAAAGAGCAAGAAGGGCAAAAAAGTGAAGAGGATTAGGCAAATACACTTTAAAATTATGCAGGAATTTTGCAATCCTAGCTCCACATGGCTCTGTGGAAATGACCTGCTTCACTGCTCTGTTCAGCTTGAGCGTGAAGTGTTTTTTTTCTTTTCTTAAAAGGTATTTCAGAGGAGAAGAAGCTCTTCTTAGTGTCCAGACACAGTGAGGTGCTGCATCTTCTTGGCGGCCTCTTCTGACACCGTCTTGGCGGATTTCTCCGGGCTGGGCGCCGGACTGGGCGCCGGACTGGGAGCCGGACTGGGGTTTGGAGTGTTCGCTGCACTGTTGGGATAGTCCCTGTTGCCAAATATAATACTGCCCACTCGCACGTTGGTGGAGCCCACCTCAATCTTCAACACATGGGAGCACAGATAAAAACTTAAGTGAACATATTAGACGGCAAGTGAGATTTAACAGCTACTTTAAGGTTTACTACACACGAGAAGCTCAAAATCAAAGAATTGCCGACAGAAATGTCAAATAGGGGAATTTATTTTATTTTTGCTTCCATATTTGTGCTCAGAAATTGTTTATGAATGCTGATAAGAAGTGATACTCACCGCATGTTCAAAATCTGTGGACATACCCATGCTGAGTTCTACCTCCTCCAGAGGCAGCTTCAGACTGTCACACACCTCCTGCCTCCGACTCAGCAGCATCTACCGGAGAAGATACAGAGGGATAGTTAAATGAACATATAAACGCACATCTTCCGTACACCAGTCTTCATTCGGCAGGTTCAACCTGGGGACATTTAGGGTTTGGAAAAAACTCTTAACTTCACTCCAATATTGATTGAATGTATAGTTCACCACAGTACTATTGTGCACGCAGAGTATTCTGTACCTGAAAGTCCGGGTTGGGGCCCAGGGTGAGGTCGTAGCCATAACGGCCGATGGTCATGAGTCCTAAGAAATGCAGGGCGGAGCACTGGGACACGATGTGTTTCACTGTGTTCACCGTCTCCTCTGGTGGCAGCCCATGTTTATCTACAGAAAACATTCAACAAACTGTTTGTGAACAACTGACTTTTGTGTTTGTGCTCAGCTCACCAAAACACCCGAGCAGAAAAAGGTAACACGAACTCTGTTCTCCGCTGGTGTTGATCTGCACCATGATCTTTAACCTCTGTGTGCTGGCTCCTCTGATCCGCTGCCACGAGCTGTTGACCCTGTCGGCTAGTTTCGCAGAGTCTACGGTCTCCACAAGGAACAGGTTTGGCACGCCTGGTAAACAGAAAGACAAGACTCAGTGCAAGGCGTTTAAACATGCAGCCTGAGCAGGACAGGGGACGATCACTCACCCAAGAGTTTGTTGACATTATTCTTCTGCAGATGGCCGATAAAGTGCCACTTGATTTCTGGACATGAGTCTAAAATCTGCATAAGGGAAAAAGAAACACTGTGAATGGTCACAGACTGGGGTGAGGAGTCAAAATAAAATATGTAAACCTACCAGAGGGTCTGAAGCTTTGTCCACAAGTTCATTAACCTGGTGTGGAGATAAACAATTACATTATTTCCCACCTTCCTCTCAGAGTTTTAAGGAGATGCTGTAACACTTGGAGAGATGCACACCAGCAGCGCTCTGTACTCACATAATTTTCTCCAAAGTTACGCTGCCCTTGTCTGTAGGCTTCCACAACCATGTCTGGGGGTTTGGTCTTGCTGACAGCTACCAGGCGGGGCGGCACAGCTGGTAGTGTCTGAGGAAGGACAAAGCAGGCTTATTTTTCATCTGTATCACTGACTGTATCAGCAGAGGAGCTCAGTGTGATGCAGCATGGTAGCTGAGGTATTTTGGCTCTGGCAGAACAGTGACTCAGATGAAACTGGTCCTGGCTGCTGCTATGTTAAGATGCTGTTCCACGTCTCGCAGTCAGCTCCACTAGTAACAAGCCACTGAGAGACATCTGATTGATGTTGTGAAGATGCTGTGCATTCCTACACGCGGTGACCTAGATACCAACCTTGATGCTATTTAAATGGGTGGGGTGGGGGGGGGATGACTTCGTCACTAGTGGACGCGTTTTCACAGAGCTGTGGTGTGAGCAAGCTGATCAAACGCGTGGTCGTGTACTAGCAAACATGCAAAATGTCAATCATAAAACCGTGATTACAGGAACTATTTATTGCGGCAGCGTGCCCATGATAAGCATGATCATCCTGCTCCCACGCGTATTATGCAGCCACTATTAGACCATGCACGGTGTTATGAAGGTGCTGCCACAAGCCCGACTGTCTCCCATCCAAAGGTTGAGGTGTTTGGCAACCTTACATAACGAGTCGTGCCGCCGCAGCGCCACTTTTTCGGAGCCCGAGAGTTGAGTGACAGCAGCGGCGCTCTTGAGGGGAGCTTCCCGGGCTGCAGTTACCTTGGGCCGCCGTGCCGCCGCCTGGTTCACCCGCTCCACGACCGAGCGAAGCGCCTTCCCAACCTCCTCCGACATTGCTACTTTCCACATACCGTCAAACTGCTACGACACAGTACGTAAAGAAACGTGTCCGCGTTGACGACATTAGACTGTCAAAATAAAAGTCCACCCGAAGAGGGAGCGTCCCTCAGACAGCGCCCTCTGTTGGTCCCGATAGTCTCCAATGACGTCCAAAGGGAAGTCATCCACTTAAATAAGCACGCCAGGAAATTCTAGTAAAGCTTCAGCAGATTCATCATTGATTCATATTTACGGAGATTTTGTGTTGAATTTGTATTTCACGTTCATAAATGTACTTTTCCTCTATGAGGTTGTACATTATATAAATTTAAATTAATTTCTAAATCCAATAACAAAAAGGATGTGAAAACTGGACCTCTCTAAATATCCTTACATAATTTAGACTACCCCTGGCAATGTTATTTGTGTCTTTTTACACACCTATATCCTGTTCTGTATGTACACTATATTCCCCTTCTTGCTCTAAAGATTTTTGAGGGAAAAATCCATGTTTATAACCTTCCCCCTACCATAATTCTGGTTTTACCTACTCAAAAGTTTTGTTAATATAGCTGGAAAAATAAATAGCTAAATTTTTTAGTGTCTAAAGGGCAACACATTTAAGTTGTGTTGTATTTTCAATTTTACTCTTTGCTCATATTAATGTTGTAAGTGTCCCTTCAAATCATCTATGAACACTTAAACAATTGTTTGCCTCCCAATCAATTTGGAGTTTACTCATATGCAGTGAATACTACAAAGGGATTGAATAAAAGGTTTAAAGTGTGTTTGGCTGAATCTAAGTTATCACTATATTGAAGATACATACAGGTGCTGGTCATATAATTAGAATATCATCAAAAAGATGATATATTTCAGTAATTCCATTCAAAAAGTGAAACTTGGATATTCTATTCATTCATTACACACAGACTGATATATTTCAAATGTGTTTTTCATTTAATTGTGATGATTAAAACCGACAACTAGTGAAAATTCCAAATTCAGTAACCCCCGAAAATTAGAATATTACTGAAGACCAATACAAAAAAGGAATTTTAGAAATGTTGGCCAACTGAAACGTATGAACATGAAAAGTATGAGCATGTACAGCACTCAATACTTAGTTGGGGCTCCTTTTGCCTGAATTACTGCAGCAATGCGGCGTGGCATGGAGTCCATCAGTCTGTGGCACTGCTCAGGTGTTATGAGAGCCCAGGTTGCTCTGATAGTGGCCTTCAGCTCTTCTGCATTGTTGGGTCTGACGAATCGCATCTTCCTCTTCACAATACCCCATAGATTTTCTATAGGGTTAAGGTCAGGCGAGTTTGCTGGCCAATTAAGAACAGGGATACCGTGATCCTTAAACCAGGTACTGGTAGCTTTGGCACTGTGTGCAGGTGCCAAATCCTGTTGGAAAATGAAATCTGCATCTCCATAAAATTGGTCAGCAGCAGGAAGCATGAAGTGCTCTGAAACTTCCTGGTAGACGGCTGCGTTGACCTTGGACCTCAGAAAACACAGTGGACCAACACCAGCAGATGACATGGCACCCCAAACCATCACTGTGGAAACTTTACACTGGACTTCAAGCAACGTGGATTCTGAGCCTCTCCTCTCTTCCTCCAGACTCTGGGACCTTGATTTCCAAAGGAAATGCAAAATTTACTTTCATCAGAGAACATAACTTTCGACCACTCAGCAGCAGTCCAGTCCTTTTTGTCTTTAGCCCAGGCGAGACGCTTCTAAAGCTGTGTCTTGTTCAAGAGTGGCCTGACACAAGGAATGCGACAGCTGAAACCCATGTCTTGCATACGTCTGTGCGTGGTGGTTCTTGAAGCACTGACTCCAGCTGCAGTCCACTCTTTGTGAATCTCCCCCAAATTTTTGAATGGGTTTTGTTTCACAATCCTCTCCAGGGTGCGGTTATCCCTATTGCTTGTCCACTTTTTTCTACCACATCTTTTCCTTCCCTTCGCCTCTCTATTAATGTGCTTGGACACAGAGCTCTGTGAACAGCCAGCCTCTTTAGCTCTTGATCAGCTGTCAAGTCAGCAGTCTTTTTGGTGATACAATGACCTTTGAGGCAGAAGTGTCACTTATTCAGTGTGAAACATGGTCACAATGTTCCCTTCTGTTCCTGAGTTAGGGTGTTGAACAACAGCCAAAACGGGTTTTCTAGGACATTATGTCACAATGTTGACCTTTCTGATATAAAAGGTCATCACCCGGTCAATAGTTACCTATAAAATAAAAATACTTTGGTTGAGTGGAGCTCCATGAGTTTATAAATTGCAAAACAAACCACTCAACCAATCAAATGTTCGACCACATTCTCATATTTAGGTTCATACTGTTGTTACCAAACAAAGCCAGAGGCTGCAGTAACATTTGTCAGTAACCTGTGATATGGTAGTAATACACTGTATATGCTAAACTTAATGCACAAACACAAATACAAAAGAAAAACAGATTTATTCACAAGATCACACATTCCAAAATTGTCCAAAGAAAACATCCCGATCAAGGGAAGTTAAATGAAGACATAAGACGACATGTTACAATTCAAAGAAACACATATGCTTCGCCTCGTTCAAACTAAGTAGTAACTAAAATGGATAGATGGTAAAAAGGGCGTGGGTGATTCGGCTGCCTCTCCTCTTATACTCTCTCCAAGGCCTCCAACATTATGATGCTGTTTCCCCTGATGACCTGTGAGAAATGAGACCACAGAGTTAACACACTGCATTTTTAAAGCAGACTTATTAAAAGGTTTCAGTGTGAAACTGAGATAAGAAAGGCAAATAAAACTGTGAGGCTGGCGCTACTTCTGTTTTACGTGCCATAGGTACAGTGCTGCTAACCTCTGAGTGCAGCCAAAAGCTGGGTGACCTACACAACACTGTGCCGGAACATATTGTGTGTAAACAGATCAAGGAGTGAAGCTGCTGCCCTGCTATCATGCTGCTTTCACTACACCTTCTGTGTAGATGTAGTGCAAGTATATCTGTGTTTCCTGCTTTGACAAAGTTAAAAAGGTCTGCTGTGAAAATGGCACATTTCCAGAAATGAAACAATGAGAGCTGTCAGAACTAACATGAGAGCTATCTGTGTAGAAAAGTGGTTCTTAATGCTGCTATAATATATCCTATATTCTTCTAAATGTCAACAAATCCAAGGAAAAGACCCAGACTAACGAGTAGATCCTTAGTATCTTTTAACAAGTGTAGCCTGGATCACAGCTTGATATCTTGTCCTCCTCTGAGACATAAAGTCTCCACTGTTGATCAAAAACTATTAAAACACATCAATGAGACTCTGCTGCACTAGGTGACATGTTCCTTCATTACTATGAACCCACACTGTAGTTTATTCTGACTCAGTCCCACATGCACCATCCGGCTGCCACAAATACTCAGAGCTCCACATGTGGATTCATCCACCGCAGAAAATAGTCCCCAACAAATGTTACAAATTTATGTAACGTTTTCTAAAAATGGTAAACTGCATCTCTTTGCTAAGAGCTGACCCATGTAAAATATACACCCCCCATGGGATAGTATAGGGCATAGAAGCATAAAGTAGTGTGTGTACCCCCCCCCCCATTGTGTGAATTACAACATAGAGCACCCAAATAAAGAATAAATAGACACAGCCTTGTTCTTTTCATGGGATTTGCTGACAATAAGAAAAATAATAAGTTAAGTCAGTCAATGTACTGACCACCATGCCAATGGCATTCTGTTGTCCTCCCGGGCCCATCTCCAGAGAGTCATCCAGCACCATGTTCATAAAGGGGTCAAACCCTCGCAGGATGCCCTGCACATGTCTGCCTCCATTCAACTTCACTAAAGGACAAAAGAAATCAGATTAATTTTGTTGCAAAAATACACTTCACTGTCAAAGGATTGCCTCTTGGGCTGTTTTTGCTTTATGTTAGTTGGGATTTCTAACCATCGATTAGCGTTTGACTGTTTCCTATCCTGACTGTAGGTTACAGTGAGTATCTATTATTTTTCTATGAATTGGAAACACCAATTTCTGTGTCCATCTTCTCTCTCATGTACGTTTTTATATGAGCAAATGGCATTTATACAAATACAACAGTACAGATCTGTTTACACAGCCATATCGACATGCAGTAAATGGTCACAACATAAAGTGATCTTTTTTCTTCTTTAATTGTAATGAACTTGTATAAATAAGGTTGCAACATTAACGAATATTAAATAAGAAAAAAAAAAGGCCAATTAGAATAAAAATAAATACAGGAAAAATGTAATAAATGCCACACAAGAAGAACAGGTCGATACCACCCTATCCCACTACTCAGATGATGTCAGAGGGGAAATATTACTCTTGGGTCACATGTTCAAGATAAAGAGTGAGAGATGTCCAAATCATGTCAAAATGAGGAAGTTTGTCCACAAGAGTATATCTTATTCTTTCTAAGTAAGGTCACTAAGCAACATCTTTGTGGTGGGGACTTCTTTCCCAATGTGTACAAGCAGTTTTTTTTTGTCTGTGTTCATCTTTACGGTGAGAGCATCACACTGCAGCCAGCCACAGAGGTTTCCTTCATCACATGCCACTACACACATAATATACAGTACAGTTGTTTATCAAACAGCGTAAGAGCAATTTATTTTTCCTTTGTTAGTTTTAACTCAACTCTGACTGGGAACCATTAAGCAATGACAGCATGTAGCACTTAATACTGTTGTTATAATCTTGACCAGGGTAGCATGTCTAAGACTGGGGGATAATGGTTACATTTGCTTCTACCATATTTTGCATCCTTCCCTACAACCAGGAAGTAAAATCCTAACTTGAGGCTTAGCCAGGATCACTGGTTGGGATTAAAATGTGTAGCCGCTACACTTCTTTACAAGTGTACTTTTTATTTGTCAACATACACATGTATGTTGCGATATTCATCCTCTGCATTTAACCCATCCTTCAAGGGAGCAGTGGGCAGCTACTGTGCAGCACCAGGGGTCCAACTCCAGATCTTACGTCAGTGTCTGGTCAACACACTGACTGAAGAAACCCAACATGTTTTTGACTATGGCTTCACATAATAGTATCTGCACTGTAAACTTTCAAGACTTAATGTGCAATATTCTCTATTCTCTCTACTGCAGTTATTATTACTACTTTTTATCATTACAATTCTGCCACATTCTATAAAATTTTGCCAAGCTCTTATTTTGAAATTTATTTTAAGATCGTATACTGCGTTATATTCTACTTACCAACTTTCTATTATTATTATTTATCTTCCTTATACCTTAGTTTGCAATGTGAGCAACTGTACTGGGGATAATAAAGTATTTCCGATTCTGATTCTCAAACCAACGATCCTGGTTAAGATAACTGGTTTGAGAGGATGTGGCTAATTTAACTTTGTTGTAAACGTGATTTCAGTGTGTAATACACAACAGGAGGATATATTAGGATATCACCATGTTTAACTAAGATAACATTTAACGGAGATGTAAATTACGTATGTTAGTTAAGGTTAGTGTCAACACCCCAGAAGTCACACTGACACATCTGAAACAACCAGTTCATTTGTGCTTTACTCAGCTTTTAGGTTTACTCACACGAAAGCTTCTTGTCCATAAACCTGAAGAAAGAAAAATAACATTAGCTTAAGTTACAGAGCACATCATACATAAACCAGTCAGCCAGGCTAGCTAATGTTAGCTTGTTCGCGTTACAAACAATGAAGCAGTAAGAGTTCGGTCATTTAGAAAACAAAGCGGAAGACGACTTTATTCAAACACGCTCTTACAGCAACTTACTTCTTGAGCTCGGGTGGATGTGCTTTGCTCATGTTGTCTTTATTCTGTAAACGCCGACAGAGCCGCTCGTATGATTTTCGTTTAACAAAACCGCGGAAGGAAAACGTGCGCCGAGAGACCGGAAGTTCACCGGTGAACGTTCATCACGCTCTTTAAGCTGCTACGTCTCGCACAGCGCCGCCACGCGGCCAGGAGGAGCAACAGGCGGTTTTATATATATATATATATATATATATATATATATATATATATATATATATATATATATATACACACACACATATATATATATATACACACATATATATATACACATATATATATATATACATACATACATATATATATACATATATACACACATATATACACACATATACACATATATATATATATATATATATGTTGTTCATGAGAAAACAAACATTTCTGCAACGAGTGGGACTACGTTTTGTTCCATTATACTTAACAGCAAAACATTTTATTTTTTAATATGGAGGGAAACATCTTTGCTAAAAGGGCTGCTATCCACTAGACAATCATCATTGTCATTCTGCTGTAGCTTATGCCAGTTGTTTTAAACATGTAATCAAATCAACAAACAGTGTAATGAACTGTGCAGATGGTGTTTGTTGCAGTAGGGCTGGGCAAAAATATTAGCATGATAAAAACGTGTCATGCTCTTCGATATCGATCATTATCACGATAAATGGCAAATCATTATTTCTTTCAAGTTTAAAGGCTGATATTTGCTCCTGAGTGAAAAGTGAAGAAACAAGGTTAATTGTGTGATTAAACTACTCTTTATGGGCCGAACATGACAAACACTTGATGCCAAACAGTGGATTACTTCACAAATCTGAGGTAGAACATTAAAAACGATTATGATAAATTAAACAACAAAACATATCTTGATAGAAAATCTAAGTGCTAATTTGTTTGTGATTAAACTGAATTAAATTAAATATTTATTGATGACATATTAAACATTTGTTCTATTGTTGAGGAAAATTATATTGCAATAATTAGTTTTATTACCCAGCCCTTCGTTGCAGAGAAAGCAATTTCATGTGAAGTGCTCAGAACCTTACCCAGTTTACCAGTTACCATCTTCACAATATCAGTATAAAGAACACAGACCAAAATATCTCTTTGTATTAAGTTTTAATTATGTTATCTATAAAGAGCCACAAACTGATTTACAAAAGATCTCGAAAAAGTGGAAGCTTCAAAACCTATTTAATCATTTCCTACATTTTCACAGTAGCACTTTGAAAACAGTAGCTGAAAATCCTTTAGAAAAAAAAAAACATAAAAAAAATACTCATGTTGATCCTAGTCGATTCACCAAAGCGCACTTATCAAGCATCACAGCCATACTGAGGGGAGCATCAGTCTGTTTGCATAGCAATGTAATATCACCCGAGTACCTGCCAGCTAAAGAGACATAATGAAGGGCATTGTATTGGGTATTACTATCCATGACAGCCATTGGGTTTGTTCAATCTATGGATTAATAAGTACTACTTATGTCAGAACCTCCAAACACATAAAAGCGCTCAAAACAAGTGATTTCACTCATACCATGGGACTACCATGGCACCAGAGTTCCTGCCAAAATTATAAGAAAAAGAACTAAAATGCAGCATCTGACAGTAGTTAACTAAAGCTCTACAGGTGTCTGCTGTAAAACAGACTCTAGCGAACAAGATATCTCTGGCAGAACGGTGGTGGTTGTGCAGATGGCCTCCTTCAGGTAAGATGATCTTGATCCTATTGTCGGTACCTGGGCTAAGATCTTCTTAGCTTTAAGATCTTTTTAGGTAACGAGGCCTTGTTTTGTAGTGGCGTGTTAATGATATGCCAAACTCTGTTAAAGGAAGCATACTGCTGTTTTTGCATGTTTTGGTTTTCAACTGCCACAAGTTTCAATGCATTTCTTTAAACTTTCAACAGACTTATGTTAAACCTGCAGTGTGGAATGTTTGTCTCCCCCCTTGAGAGTAAATACAGTAAAACACTGTGGACACATGCTTATGATGTACAGGATCTGCCATACTGAGCTGCGTCTGTCGCTACTCTGGCAAACCAATCATTGCTGGGTGCAATAAAAACAAGGGAGCGTGGCCACAAACACAGTTTAGAGATATTTACCGGGCGGTCATTAGATTAATCCGCATTATGTGAACTTGTTTGGCAAGGGCTCGAATTTAGTAGCTGTTCTTTTAAATGTAAAAATCCCACACTCCAGCTTTAAGTCAAAGTTGCAATTTCTTTATGTTGTAATAAAGGTGAAATAATGAATAACTTGATGAGTGTTCTTTACTGGTTGCTGCACATAAATACTTGTGGGATACTCCAATATATCTTCTATTTTCAACATAAACATGATCCTTTTTGAAATGCTGCTCAAATGTATTAATTTGCAAGTGATGACATTAAAAGGTTAACCAGCTAAATGGCCACTGTGATGGAACTTATTTAAAGGAACAAGTGGCTGCCTAAAAATGAACAAAAAGGTGAGAATCTGAAAAGAACGATGTCACACTTTGGAAAAAGGCTGGCAGTAACGTATATTGGATTTATAGTAAAAGGGCTGAACAGAAAATGCAAAAACTCCAGTATGGTCCTTTAACCGTTCATATGTTGCTATGGATACCATTAAAGCAACAGCGTAGGTATAAAAATGCTCAATCAATGACCTGATTAATCAACAAGAATTTATTAGAGATGTCACTACTCTCCGCTCTCCAACGCCTCAAGGCAACAAGGCAGTCGCTGATGACATTCAAACTGAATCTCAGGCTTTGCTGGCCTGGTGTGTGTAGCCCTCTGTGACGCTGTCCTCCTCCACCCTGACTCGCAGGTGCTCCTGACAGTGTTCTAGGAAAGAGTCCAGTGCCGAGAAGCCCTGCTGGCAGGGCACACAGTGGTACAGCCTCTGCCGCTTCGAGCCGGGCCATTTACAGGTGTCCATCTCGTTTGTGCACACGCAGCACTGTCTCCTCTTCACGGACGACTGGTGGAGCTCCACGTGCTCCCTTAGCTGCGACTGCAGAGAAAAAACCTCAGCACAGGAGGGGCACGGGAACTCTCTCTCCTCCATCTCCTCTACTTCAGGCACATCTCTGCATCTTTCGGGATCAGTAACCTTGTTAGCTAATCTGGCCACCTTCCTGGGCCTCCCTCGACCAGCCTTAACAGTCTTGTCACCTCCTATGCTGGTCTTTACTTTATTTGGTCTATTTTCCGATAAGCTGGAGTCTTTGGTGGTACATCCCACAGACTGGCCTTTGTCTTTGATTGTGGTGAAACTTGAGGCTGTGTGCTGTCTGAAATGTGCCCTAAGTGACAAATGATGGACGAAGACTTTTCCGCAGACCTGACATGGATACACGCCTCCTCTCCTGCGCTTAATAACGACTGGCCTGGTTTCCCTCCCAACATTTTTCTCTCTGCTGTGCTTCTCTTTTCTGTGCAGGTACAGCTTAGAGGTGCTCCTGAAAACCATGTCACAAGAGCGACAACTTAGATGCTTCTGTTTGGATTTTGGACTTTTAATTGGTTCTCCATTCACGTTGCTAATCCCTCCTTTCCTTAATTCTCCACTAGCACCTTCTCCTTTGGTCTTTTGCCCCTGTGGAGCCTGCTCCTCTGCATGGTTGGTCTGTACATGGCGTTGCAGTCCAACTTCGGTGCGGAAGGTCCTCGAACAGAACTGGCAGACATTGAAAGCTCTGCTGCTGGGCCCTGGGGTGTCTGAAGAATCGGAGCGAGTGGAGTCTCCCTCAGAAACTGGCGGAGAAAAATCTGGAAGGCTACTGGCATCAACTACATCTGATGGGGATGGTGGCTCACTACAACCAGCCTGCTGATGATGCAGCAGAGCCTGCTTCTGGCTGAAGCCTCTCCCACATGGGGCACATGCATAAGGGCTACTGTCCAGGAGGTGAGGTGACTTGCCAGGATCTGAGGTCGTACATGCAGGGCACGGAGAACCAAGCCGTGACTCTCCATGACAGAGCTCACACTGGGAGGAATCATGATCACACTCATGAAGCTGTAAGGATGACCTCAGGGAGAACTCCAGCCCGCAGGAGGGACAACGGTGAGGCTTGGGTAATGTGTGTTTTAGTTCCTGGTGGTGCAACAGATCTGTTGCAAAAGGAAAGCCCTTACCACATTCTTGACAAACATACATGGAAAGGTGGGATTGCTGCCTTTGGTTTCGTGTGTGCTGTTTTGTCTCAGTCCGTGCAATGAAGCTGGCAAGCCTGGACAGTGTGTCTGCTGCGGTCTGGGAGCGGCTGAATGACTCCTGGGCCCTTGTGGTGCTCCAGCTGACTCCATCCATCCTCTTTCACCAAGCTTCTCTCCTGCCTTACTGACTGAGACAGAAGATGTTTGAGACGTTAGCTTGAAAATCACACCAATACAAGACACAAAACAAAAGCAGCGTTTAGTTAAATTGATGTTTAAGCTAAAGGGAACCAAGCTGCTGGGAGTGAAGTGCAGTAAACAGCTGGTCATGATGTGACAGGGAAAAAGGGGAAGTGTGCCTTCTTGTTAGCTTGTTACTCTCTTTTTGCTAACGTTATCGATAATTGGTAGCTAGGTTTGATTTTACAGCGACACAAAAGCTTTGTATGAATTATAAACTGAACAGCAAGATGTCTATTTAGTGAGAAGTCAATGCTACCACAGCAGCACGGTTTCTAGTGCGTGACCACAGGATAGCTTCGTGTTTGCTAACGTTAGCTAGTTCCGCTAACATGCTATAAATGCTCATTTTCCGTTCACCACAACAGCTTACCGTTACTCTGAGAGAAACGCGGTGCGACGCGGGTGTCGTCGGCTGCTTTAATTCACACTCTGAGTCTTGTAAACGTCTGGTTTCGTTAATACAAACCACGGTGACATTCCTGCAGGAGTGAAGCTGAAGTTTTATGGGGGTAAGTTTCTCCTCCGAGCTGCGAGCTTCCTCCAAATCACGTGACCACTTTCCAAAACGGCCCTTGAGCCGCAGGCTGTGGTCGAAAAGTAAATAAAACCTTTTCTATTCCTAACCACTTTTCCTTGACCCAAAGCCCGTAATCAAGTGACATGGGGAGCCTTATTGTACACATTGATGGTGCCTAGGTTTTCACAGTGTCCACTGAAGCATCTCCCTTTTCAGACAAGAACCGTAACAACAAGTTAAGATCTTCTCAAACAAAGGTAACAAGGTAAATAAGTTTTTCCTCACCTGAAATAGACTAAACAATTGCACATCTAATGTTCTATTGCAATGTATCTAAATTATTTTGGGAGGATTTTTACAATTGGATATGACAGTAGCCTAATTTGACCGTACCTGTGTTGACATGTATGTTACATTGGGTCTTATAATGGAGGACAGAATTTTTTATACAACCTGATAATTCTAACGAAACATTTTTTCACAAATGTAAATTCTTAAAAAACACCCCACATTTCACTGTTTTCTTGAAAGAGCAGTCTCTTTATTTAGATACAATGACATTTCGAGATAATGAGTTGAGTGCACATATTACTTTGTGCACTCAAGTCAGATTTGTCATTTAATTGGACCCCAATCAGAGGTTAAAATGGAATGTTTTATGTTATGTTGGTTTTTTCTTTTCCGTTCATGTTTCCTTGAGCTCATGGAGAACATCACAAGGTCAAGGAAAGATGTGAAGGTGAATTTATCGGGACAACCGCAGTGCTCAGAGAATTCAACTGCTCCAGGCTTAAAAAAACTTTATCTACAACTCAAGGAAGATTAGTGCAGTGACAAAAACGTAAGGTTTTCTGTCCAGCACAGAGTCAAGGAAAGGATGCTTGTAAAGTGTATACACAGGGTCCATTTAACCATCATTTACTCTGGGAAGTAACAAAATTGATGGCTGTTAAAAATAAAAACAAAACAAATAAGAATGAAACATTGAAATAAGGGAAAAAAGTTAAATTAGTTATTAAATAAAAATAAGGAATTAAGCATGTGGCTAAATTATATTCAGACATTTAAGTTTCCTGGCATGACCTTTGACTTTTTTTTATAAATTTGTTAAATAGAGAATTAATTTTTTAGTGCATTCCACAAGATTTAGTATGTTATGATGATATTGTTAACTAGAAATTAAATATGCTTGTTTTTCCAAGACTCCTTTTAACTGTATGGATTTGACGGAGAAGAAATATTTATGGTTTCGGAGCTCAGCTAATCATACAAGGATTTCCATAGGTTTTGTCACAAGCATAAAACAGGTGCTCTGTTGTTTTTACATTTACAGTACGTGGAATTGTGGGACAGCATTCTCTCCTTTCCTTTCGTAAAGGATGGTCCAGTGTAACCTATGCTAAAGGAGAAAAGAAAGGAAGCATTAACGCACCTTTCCTTAGCAGTTAGGAACCTTTCTAAGCAAAAAAGACTATTTGACCACAACCACAGTTTCCAAATAGATGCCATTAGTTGTGTTTCCCGTAACCCAGCTTTAATATATGATCAACACACAAAAGCCAAAATGTAGAATAACAATCGTTTAATATAAACAAAAAGTTAATATACAGCAGGTACTGTAATAATTTAATAATTCTTATTTTTTAGGCTGAAGCCAGCACTGACTACAGAAGCACTCTAAAACAGATTACCCCAATAAAGATTTGGCATATTATTGTTGAAACAGCATAAATACTTCTGAAACAAGTCAACACATTTTCAATTTATCAGCCTTTTAGGGTTACATATGTGACCTTAAGATAAAAACAGCATGGAGTGAACTATACCATTATGGTTGTGACACAATCAGTTGGCGCACCTGAATGAAGAAAACCTACTTTAAGGCTAAAGGTATACTGTAAGCACTCACAAAAAAACATTCAACATGTTTCAGAAAACAAAGAACCCAAGATTATAGGTGGCTTAACTGACAATGAATGAACCATAAATAGGCAAATGACACAGTGTTTGACTTTTCCAAAAACAAAAAAAATGATCTATTTCACAAATTTAAGTACCACAGTATCTTCAGAAGCACTTCACTGAATATAATGCCATAAAGAAACTTAGACTTCAAGCTATGGTTGAACTGCCACACTTCAGAAGGACTGAATAATTCCTGAATTAATTCATTCTTAATCACGACAGATGTTTCTCCGTTCAATTTTCACAGCCTCACAAAGCATTTGCTTCAGGATGGTTACGTTTTCACATGTGAGGCAAATGACCAAAGCAAAAACCTTAAAAACAATTCTAGGGCAATCAAAGTACCAAAGGCTAATGATTGTCGTATCTTTCAAAACATATACTGTGTTATAATTATCACTGGTAATGAAGGCAGATGAGTAGTGACGCACATATTCATGGATCGTGTCACTCACTGGGAAATGTCAACCTCACCTGAACCTTTAAGCAAATATAAAACACGAGTGTTAATGATGAGGAACTTATCCATGTTATACTTTAAAAGACATTACAAATGCTTATAACAAAGGCATCGTCATGTTGTCTGAGCTGCACCGTGTCCACAAGACTGTCAGATAGGATGGTGTGACTAATGTCCTTCAGTACCGACTAGCATCAGCAGAGGCTTTTCCTCTATTTAAAAATATCTCCAACCCCTTAAACGATTATTAAAATTATTCTAAACTGAGGAAGTTTTTAACTACTTGTTATGCATACGCAGGTTTTAACAGTGGTATCTAATTAGATACTTCATAGATTATAGAGATTGTTTATAAGACTTTAAAGACTCGTTCTGCATAAAGAATCAAGTTTGGTTAAATTAAGTCTCAGGTCAAAACATAGATATCATTTATGCCAGTTGTAAGAGTGTGAATATGTGCCATCATCTTTAATTAAAACTCTATTCCAACTGTCTAAAATATAATAATATTTAAATTAATCTTTGCCAGTTCCAAAATGAAATTAGACTCCTTTCAGCTTACATATGAACGGAGAATTTAAAGGCTACATTAACCAAAAACTGGTTTATTCAGAGGCACTTAAATTAAAATTTTACCACTGATGACATATACGAGCTAAACCCAGGAGCCTCATTGTGATTTAAAATATTCCTCTTCAGCTCATAATGACCAAGAAGGCAAACTGATGCCAAATCAGTTTCTCCACTTTGAAAGTGAAACACAGTCCTGACTATTTGCTACTCTTAGGACATACTGAAATTCAACCCAAATTATCAGTACAGGAAACCAACTGACTGGAGTGAGAGGGGGTGGGCAGCTGGCTGGAAATGAGTTTAAAAAACAAAACAAAAAACATATATATAGTACTGATCCCACAAACAGCCATCATCCCTTTATATTACAGCGTGTACATATCACTCGAGAGACAATCAATGCTGCATGGCCAAAAACTGTATGAGTAAACCAAGATGACAGAGCTGTGAGTATTTATACTGTAACAGTCCATTGATACAGCGCAGCATGTTGGCTGCAATTAGTCTCATATTCACTGAGCTCTATGGGTGCACCATAAACCCAACTCCAGCGTGACATTCACTGGACTTCATTTTCACAGGATAAGTTTCGTGGCTGAGATAACGCGTGTCCTGGAGCTTCACTTGAACACGTCAGTCTCTTCCAGTTTACCTCAAAGACAACGCTTGATGTCAGGAGAACGTCAGATACAGTGGGTCCATCTAGTCACAGTCTAGTTTGATTTCAAATTAAAGTACTGTGTTTGCTGGGATGCAGCTTCAGGCCTATCTCTTGTAGTGGCTGGGTGCGTCTGCGAACATGTACTTGAGTCTATAAGCTTCAGCCAGGAGGAGACCCACTTCCTCGTTACCCCAATGGATTGTAGGAAGGTTTTGCAGTAGCATAAGAAGGCCCTGCGAAGCAACAGAAATTCATTTGAGACATTGTTTTGGAAGGCAGAGGTTAATAAAACAGCACATATTGCATTTCACAAATATACTATACAGTATGTGGGCTGAGTTAGTATGTCGCAAAGAAAGGCTATAATAATGTTCACCATCTTAGCAAGCTAACAAATACTAATTGATTGATTTTGATTGCCTTTATTGTCCCAGAGATTGGTTTTCAAACAGTAGTCACATAATAAAACAAATAAATAAATAGAAGACATAAATACATCTAAGATACAATAGATGTTATCAACATACAGTAAAGTTACCATGAGATATAAAGTACCATCAGTCCTGTCTTAGAGTATACTGTATGTGCAACAGCAACTAAGCCTACAGCTTGTTGTTTTCAAAGTAAAATATTTCCGTTCTATTATTTACATATTTTGTTGCACGTAGTCTTGCTGCCATCTGTTGGTACTGCAATCAATATTTAGTGGTTACTTTCTCCGTTAAGTGTGGATGACATTAATACCTGAAAGTCAACCATGGAGAGGATTTCTCTGCGCCACTCGATGAGGAAAGCAGCACAGACGTACAGATGGAAGTGGGAGAAACCCTCTGCTTCAGCCTGTGGAAAACAGAACAGCTGTTTACACAACGCTTTGACCGTTAGTCCAAATGTTACAAGCAAAGGCAATCCACAGGCAGAAGAACTCATGAACCCAGTCAAGTAGACAAACTGTATAATGGACCATATCTGCAGTAGTGTGAATTCTTCAGGCCGCAGTTTGTGCCGTGTTACTTTCTATTGTGAAGGTTTGATGATGGTGTACACTCTGCTCTACCTGGTAGGTGTCCCAGAGACGGATAGTGCAACGAAGCGGCAGCTCCCTCATCAGCAGATTGTTCATCCACCGGAAAGCAAACTGCAGATACTCCACCTCATACTTTTTGAAATGATTGTGAATGTCCTCTGCAGACACAAACAAACACACATGCTAAAATTTGAGTTTCCTGTGAATATCTGTATCTGGAAGCAGCTGTGCAGCCTTCCATCATGTGTGTGAGCTCATAGTAAACACACCCAAAATAAAGCAACCTGAAACCTAATGTGACACATGACACTCCTCATCATCCACTTACCATCTATCCTGCTGACCAGCTCCTCTAAAGC